TTGTACGGTGACCACAAAAAAAAAAAAATCAATCTCATACTTTGTCACACACACACACACACACACACACACACACACACACACACACACACACACACACACACACACACACACACACACACACACACACACACACACACACACTTTGTCACACACACACACACACACACACACACACACACAGACACAGACACAGACACAGACACAGACACACACACGGTAGGACTTACGTGGGATGGTGATACTAAAATGTTGTGGATCGGATATCAACAATTTCCTTTTTAGCGCATTCAAACCAACACCAGAAGGACCTAAATAAGCAAACAGAGAGAGACAGAAACAAAGTCCATTAATATCTTGCTTAGCTTTTATTTTAGCATGCTGCTCTTTTTATTATTTTGTTCTATTTTATTATTTCTATTTTTGTCAAAAAAAAAAAAAAAAAAAGAAGACTTTTCATGAATTCATGAATTAAAATGTTTTATTAAAAATACACTACTGTCCAAAAGTTTGGGTAAGACATTAATACTTCAACATGGTTACAAAATATTTCTGTCAAATAAATGCTGTTCTTTTGAAATTCATATTCATTAAAGAATCCTGAAAAAATTGATCAGTTTCCACAAAAATATTAAGCAATACAAGTGTTTTCAGTATTGATAATAAAAATTAATTTTCTTGAGCACCGAATCAGCATATTAGACTGATTTCTCAAGGATCATTTGACACAGAAAACAGTCATTTTAAATGGCAATTTTCACAACTAAAAAAAAAATAATTTCCCTGTATTTTTGATCAAATAGATGCTGCCTTGGTGAGCATAAGCTGATCTTGCTGACCCCAAACCTTTGATAGGTAGTGTATACAAAATCAAAAGTGTACAGTGTATACAAAATGAACTTGGATTACAAATTTAATTTAGTCAGGCCAAGATTTACACTGTATAATGCGGAGAGTCAAGCATGGTTTTTCTATTAGCCGCTAATGATTACTATGAGACATGCACAAATCAAAATCTATGTTATAGAACACAAAACAGATGTTTTTTTCTACTCGCTGGGAGAATACACATTTTCATTTGATGCATCATACACTTTCCGATACACACATGACTTCATGAGAAGCCCATGACGGTGCAAAACGTTTTCCTTATTCCACTGAGATAGAGTAGAAGAGTAAGATGCTGATTTATTACGGTGAGGAAACGGGAGATTATTTCATGTGTTTTAGGGTCACTGAGTAATGTGGAGCTCCTGTTTGAGAGCCATATGTAACTCCATGTTTATGTGTGTATGCATATAGGTGGAAAAGGAAAAAAGCAGACCGCAATACATGTTTCCAACCAGCCATATTTCATATGCAAACGCTCCTTCCCCTTAAAAGGACCCACAAACTCAAACAGTCTTTATTTTCAGGGGATGTTAATCTCCAGACCCCACTAGGCCCTGTCCGCCTGCTTCCAGGCCCACATAAAAACCTTGTCAAAGCAAAGACGGATGGTCCGTAGTCCCTTGGCCATTCTATTCACTCATCTTGTGCACTAAATGAGTTTAAAGCCCTCAATCACTCATCTCTGCAGCGGCTCGCCCTATCTCTGATGTATAGCCGCTTGTGTCCAAAAAGCCACAAACAGCTTTGAAACTTGTAGTCTGAGTTGAAGCACTGAACAGTCAGCCAGACCCCTACAGTCTAAACAGCTTTGCAAAATGGGACGGTGGTGCGTCAGAGAGGTTAACCGACTTGCCTTTGTGCATTTTTTTCCTGATTATTCAGTTCATTGTCATATGCTTTATTGACCCAAACAAAAACTAGCCCTTTACTCTTCAACAGCCCCAATAAAATAACACATTTGAGTAATTGTTTTTCAATCCAAGTGTATGTGCGCGCTCACAGGGCCAGGTTGCAGCAGCCGTAAAAGTGTCAGTAGTCATTAAGGCACTCATTAGGGGAGAATACGAAAGGCTAATACGAAAGGCTTAATAACTTCCAGGCCAAGCGCGGAGCAGATGCAGTTAACCCTGAGGAGCTGCTAGGCTGAATGAACGTGGGGGGCCGCAGTCCAACCTTCTCTCAACACTCCTTAAAACACTGTCCTCATGTCCTCATACAGTATTATCAGCATCAACATATTCCACCAAGTGTGTCTGATAAATAACCTTTCTTATCATTTATGTGTGTAATAAGTTCACAATTTAAATATATTTTGGCGAGATTTTAAGCCTTTGGAGAGACTGGGCACTATGCTACTTGTACAGGACCCTGCCAACTGCTCAAATGTGTAAAAATTATACTTGATAGTTCTAGGAAGAAACAACACATTGCAGCCCAAATTGTAATGTTCAATTATAAAAGCCCTGACAGAGATGTTTGGAAAGAGAATGAGAATTCTGATATAAAAGGAAATAAAGAATCTGATCCATCGTTTGAACTGACAGCTCCTTTAGATCATCATTTTCCTCAATGGTCATACTTCTGTTCCACCGTTATTCTGTCTGGGTCTGAACTACCACTTTATCAACTGAAATCTCTTCAATCTTAACTCAAACGTACAAAAAACAGATCATTTGCTATGTTAAATAATCAGGTTTCAGTTAAAACACTACGGTGGGCTTGCAAAGCTGCACATATGTTAAACGTGCTGACTTTGGCTGCTCGATTAATATGTATCCAAACAGATACGATCTTGATTCGTCTGGAAAGTCGTTTGAAACCAAACCGCAAACCGTGGGTCAGTTGTGTTAGAGAAAGCAAAGGGGAATAATACTACTTTGTTCAGGGGTGATTTTGTCTGACCCTGTTGTCCACAGGCAGGGGTAAACACCTAATGGGAGTGTAAAAGTTTAATGTGCTTTCAAATTAATCACTTTCATTCAAACTGCAAACACAAAGGCAAGAAAAGACAAGTCACAAGAATAACTACATTAATAGAGTACAAAGAGAGACGTATGGGGAAAAAGATTCAAATGGCATCATTGATGGCTGCATTATTAAACGCAATAAAACAACCGACAAAGAGTATGAAATAAAGATAGACAGGAAAAAAATAATAAAAAGTGCAGGCCAGGAAAAGTTAAAGCATGACCTCAAGGGACAGAATAACAGTTCAGAGAGAAAACACAGCAGACCCTTTTTCTGCATCCTTGGTTTTGTCACGACTGATACATCCATGATGCTGCCCTCCACCTTGAGACAAAACTGAAAATATTTGGGTTAGTTTGACTGTATGAGTTGCAAATTACCAGAGGGCCATCCTGACAGTAGAATAAGCTTGATTAATTAAACAGACCACCTTATGCACTCACTTACACAGGCATGTGAACACACACCCCATTAATTACATGCATCAACAAAACTGTGATGGAATCCATATGCCGTGTTGCATTCACAAACACACGGCCTGGTCTACTGCGGTGAACCATGACCCTGTGCTACCTCTCACAGATTTGTACGTGAAATATTTTATACACCTGGTCAACATTACTTGTCAGTATATGAGGAAAAGTTCACAACAACAACCCTTTACACTGGGAAAAATAAATTATGAACTTAATTTAAAGTGGAGGAGGTCGATGAGAATAGGTTGATGCAGCATTTCAACATTACAATAAAGTAAAACAAAAGAAAGGAAACTGAAACCCTCAAGCTATCTGTCATACAAATCTAAAATACTTTTTATTTACACTTTTATGAAACACTTAATTCATTGTTCTGGCCTCTATATTCTTTGTCCAGAATTTCTGGCAAACATACACCAAATCTGACATTCGAAAATCTAATATCATTTCAAGGTTTTTTTCACTTTGCAAAGCTGACGCCCCACAGCGGTTTCCCTTGAAAATAAGTGTTAACAATTCTTTGGTGAATAATATTAAGAAGGAATAAAATGTTCCAATAGAACACCAGCGCTGCGAATGAAGTGTCACAACAATGAATAAATCCTAAACTGGTCCCGTCAGCTCTTGGGGTCTTCAGAGGGTCAGGTTGAGTCCCACAGCAGAACAGGATTTATAGGTTACAGTCGAGTGCTGTTGTGGGTAAAGCACTGTTTGTGTAGCCTCAAAATAGCGCATTTTGAACTTTTGAAATTCCTTCTTTGTATTTTTACATTTCTAAAAACTTTTAAATGAAGATGGTCATCATTTGGACAACAAAAAAGCACTTTTCATATACCTCATATATATATATATATATATATATATATATATATATATATATGAATATTTCATATTCAAGTTGTT